TGCTGGGTAGCATGCCTATTGCTATATACTACCATAAATAGACCATGCTGAGACTTGTAGTTCTTCTCCAGTGTTCCCTGTACTACCACAGATAGGCCATGCTGAGACTTATAGTCTACCCAGTGCTGAATAGCTTGTTTAGTGTTATATACTACCACAGACAAGCCATGCTGAGACTTGTAGCCCCCCCAAATTTACTATAAAGTGCTATTTTTCCTGAAATGGCCCCTTTTGCTGCTCTCCTCACTGTTTACGTCGGCCGGAAGGTAGAAGTCTCTGTAGGAGCGGAGACCCTGAGGCTAATCCTCATGAGCTGGAAACATTGGTCCGTGTGGTTAATGAAACAGGTGAAACTCTTGGGTAACTCTCACACGTGTGCATGCACTATGGGGGTGCATTGCTATTCATTGTTTAATGGCACCTGAACATTTTAAACGCGTGAAGTGAATGGAATACAAAACGCATGCATTGCCCTGCTGTGTGCTCGAAATAATAAATCGGGTGTGTTTTATAAGGTCTGGGGTATGTGTTGGGGACATGTGATCTGACTATCCTTGGGTTTGTTAGAGCTGTCGGCACCTACCTTTGTTTGTATGGGTGGCACGGGGGACAGAAAGTGAGAGAAAATCACCCCAATGGGGTCATAGACCCATATAAACCCAACAAAAATGTTAACTTTTCCCCACTGCAAACCAAAACTTAAAAAAGGTAACTCGAGTTGGTTTTTAAAGCCAAACTCCGGGCACAAAAATTTTCATTCAGATATATTCCTCAGGAGCTACATTTGCAAACCTGGATGTTGCCTTGTAATAGTAGTGGTGACATCATCACTGTGCTGCACATAGCCTGTGCTGAGAGCAGAGCTCTGGGAGGGGCCCAACCAGGCCCCACCCACTACAAGCTGCCTGCAGAAAGGGACAGAGACAAGACCAGTCACCCTGCACAAGGAGAGAGAGTAGCAGTGACCGGCCTTTTATCACAGGAGGGGGCGGAGACAAGACCAGTCACCCTGCACAAGGAGAGAGACCAGCAGTGACTGGTCTTTATTACAGGAGGGGGCGGGGACAAGACCCGTCACCCTGCACAAGGAGAGCAGCAGTGTACCGGTCCTTATTACAGGAGGGGGCCGAGACAAGGCCAGTCACCCTGCGCAAAGAGAGAGAGCCGCAGTGACCGGTCTTTTATCACAGGAGGGGGCGGAGACAAGACCAGTCACCCTGACAAGGAGAGAGAGCAGCAGTGACCGGTCTTTATTACAGAGGGGGCGGAGACAAGACCCGTCACCCTGCACAAGGTGAGCAGCAGTGTACCGGTCCTTATTACAGGAGGGGGCCGAGACAAGGCCAGTCACCCTGTGCAAAGAGAGAGCCGCAGTTTTAGCACTCTGTATTGGATATGGCCAATATTAGGCTTAGTACTGGTGTTATGGGGTTGTGGTGATCGCAGGGACACCATACAGAGGACACAAATTTGTAGTCCTTGAGCTGTATAGTGCCCAGTATTGCCATACTGCAGCTTGCAGCTTTTTTTAGTCCTGCAGGATGTAAATGGTTTGTAGTGCCACGGAGAGAGAGCATGCTGAGGATTGCACACTATGGGTGTTGCTTTACTAAAAGAGCCTGTTCACTAAGCAAACTGAATGGTCGCTTTGCTCAGTGAACTATAGTCCTGTAGTAATTGAACCCCCTGTGTCTCTTTGCCTCCTTACATTAAGACCTCAAGAGAGGCTGCATGCTTCAAAAAAATTGCAATGCCCATCGCGTCAAGGACACAGTTAAGCGTTCTCAAGATTAGGTGACCAATGACAATAAAAGGATGGAAAGCTTCCAATGCAGCCAGGCGCCGCGGGCCCCCATGTAGAGCAAAGTGCCCTCCAGTGCTAATTGCTCATGCCTGTATGTGATAAACTGGAGAGAAGCATGCTGGGTTCTTCCTCTAAGGTCCATGCATGCGAGAGCTAATGCTAGGCATAGAAATGGCACTTTTGGAAGCTTTCCCTCAGCTTCTGTCTAAAAAAGAAACAATTACACGGAATTGAACAGTATGCAACAATCTGCACCCCGCTGTTTCAATCATTTCCTGTTTTCGAGCAAGCAAACATTCAGAATTGCATTGCAAATCGATGAAAACCACCGCAGTTCTAGTGAAAAAGGCGTTTTCAGTCAATGTTCACCCCCAAAATCTTTTGTTCGGGTTCTTGAAACCGGTGGAAAGTATGTGCGAGTTGGATTGCTGCAGGCGGTTTTGTTCCTTGTGATTTATTTTCTCCAATAATTGAACTAGAAAGCTGCCATATTTTTTAGTTATATGGTCAACAATATAGGATCCGGATACTTATGTCCAAGCAGCATTTGGGGATTTGTCAGGGGATCATTGTCAAAGATTGTCGTTGTTTGTGGCCTTTAGTTTTCTTGCATGGCCAATCTACAGTGTGGAGGGAGGCGGGACACTTTGTTTGATAAAGCACCCTGTGCATTTACGAAACTTTGCAATTCCTTCTGATATGCTGCACGAACGTCAATACAGATGAACTTCTAATGCAAAAAGTGTGCTGATGACAGATTTCCCTTATGCTTTAAAACCCAAGGAGGCCAAGAAGGTCCCCATGAGCTGTAATCAGAAAACACAAAGCACCTCTTTTTGCAATCCTCACCCTTTTTTGTTGTTGTAGGTGACCCCTGCAGTACCTCTTTTCGGCCACAAGATGTTCTTAGTCTTCTGAGTTGAATGATGCCCAGTATTGCTGGCATGCCCATGGGCTTTAAACCCCAATTCTGGACTAAAAAGAAAGGGGGAAAAAAAACCAGCCCTGATTGCATGCAATTTTCACCCTTTTTCTAGAGCTGACCCTTGCAGTACCTCTGTTTGGCCACAAGATGTCCGTCTTCCGTGGTAGAATGACACCCAGCATTACTGGCAATGCTAAATTAATTGCTCTGTCTTGTTTTGCTCTCCATGAGTACCTGCTCTTGATCAACCAGAAACAGCTGCCTGTCAGGGAAGGTTGCCAGCACTTCCTCTGCTCATCCTGTCCTATTTTCACAGGGTCAGCCAAGGCTAACAATATTGTGCGGCAGCCTTCTTGTCCTAGAGAAGGGGTAAAAGGGGTGGCTCGGCCCTTGGGATTTTATAACTAGTTCATCGTGTAACTCACAAAGTTCATTCATTGTGTGTTTGAGTGCTGGAACTACAGCAGCCATCACCCAGTCTATGGGAAAGAGTTCATGAGTTTTGCAACATGTTTACAGTGCAGAATCACTGCTGCTTTTGTTTTAATAAGAATTGTGACTAAACAGTTACAGTGTGTTATTTATTTTCACAAGCTCAAAAGTTTGCTCATTTTGAAATGTATTTTTTTGTTGCCCTGTTTGTAGCAGATTATGAATTCATTTTTGTACAGATATAAGGCCCCATTCACACCAGGGCGGGTGCGGATCAGCACGGTGGTTTTCGCACTGATTTTAAAAGGGCTGTTTTGGGAGTTTTAATTGCGTTTCAGGGCTGACAGCGCGGTTCCATTTTAAAGCTGTATGGAAACTGCACTGATCAGCGCTGCAAAAAAAGGTCAGGGTGCAATTCGGGCGGGGGGCAGTGTGAACAGGGCCTAAACCTTCTGAAGCACCTTAGGATGTGTACAGGGCTTGTAAATATTTACCTCTGGTGCACATAGCAAAGGAAACCTTTGTTTTGTTTTTCTTATTAATTATACGTGTGGATTTGTTCACATGTTTTGTAAGCATGTTCCTTGTTGCTTTTACATGCCAGCAAACGTTCTTGCTTTATATTTTGGCAAATTCGAATAGTTTATGGTACCCTCAAGCCTTCCACCTGGTTACCCTGATTGGCTGAATCAAAGTTGATCTAAAAACTCACATTAATGCATGTTTGCAATCATTAAAGGAGAAGTATGGGGAGGGTAAAATGCACTCTTTCCAATGCTTTGAGTGGGTGTGTGATATTGCAGCTGTCGCATGTCAGTTCTATAGCTCTAGAACTGAGAGATCAGGAACACTGATCATTCAGCTCACTGACTCACCTGACTGTCAGTCACCGCTCCCTACAATGTTTCCTCCCCCTCCCCTCTCTGTTCCTCCATTGCTCACTGCAGGGACAGACAGGGGAGGGGGCGGGCACAGCTGGCTCTGACTCTAGAGGGGCAGAGCCAGCTGCCAATCAGACAGTGAGGTGGCTCCTGACAATATTGTTGGGATCTTTCCTGGGCAGTAGCCTTCTATATGCTGGTTTTGGGTTACAGGAGGACATGCCGTCCTGTGACCCAAAAAGAGAGCTAAAGCCAAAAAAAAATGGTTTGGGTTTAGTTCTGTTTTTATTCGTCATTAAATGCATTTTTTCAATGCAAGCAGTGTAAGTCCCTGGCTTCAACTTGGAATCAGCCTCTTACAGTTCCCGTAAAGCAGAGTTCAGAGTGAGGGGGTGTAAAAGCAAAGAGCTTATCAGCTAGTGTGCTGACTATGAGATTGGTGGTAAGATGAAAGAACAGAGAGATGAGCTCATCACTGTGCTGCTTCTCCTATCACTGTCCAGTCACAGACTGGGGTGGGCCCAGGACGAACTGTACTGCAGCATTGTTTTACAGGGAAAGAGATAAGGTATGCATATCGATAGGGACAGAGATGCGATATATATAGAGTTATGTATTCCTGCAGGCAGGACTGACAACATTGGCTGGTATTTCAGTTCGGCAGATGGAGCCCACAATAGGCACTGAGGAGCTTACTGGATTTCTGGCGGATCTTCAGGTATTTTTCAGTACTTGCAGTGTTTATAAAGGGATACAACACGGGGAAATCTGAATGTATTGAAGAGATGTATTGCTATTTTTTGTTATTTTGCTCCATATTCAGAATGTGCAGCTTATACTGATATTATATACAGGATTAGCAACAGGATCTTCTTTATCTATACCATTGATTTTTTTCTGTCCTATATGAATCCACTGTCATTTTCTCTGAAGGAAATTTTTGTGGCTTTTACAGTCCAGCCTGACTACAGCAACCATGGCCACCCCAGATGTCAGCGTGCATGTAGAAGAGGTGGTGGTGGTGACCACACCGGATAACATAATGGATGGCAGCAGCATGGAGGAGGTGAAAGCGGTTCTTGTGACCACCAACAGGTAAGGCTCTGTCGTATTGAACTCTGCAGTGTGTGAATACAGGACCAAATGGTATCAGCCTCTGGGTGGGATATGCTTACTTCCTTGATCAGGCTGAGACTAGCATACTGTCATACAGTGTTCTGGTCATCACACTTTTTGTAAGATTGTTCTTTTGTCTTTCAAGCAACTCTGTCACTGGAATACAAATGAAAAACAAAACGCTCCCTGCAACAGGGAAAGTCCAAACGTACCTTTCCTGTTGATTTGCGCCATATTGCATAGATACAGCTGCTTGAAGAATCTCCAGAATCCAACATTTCGGAGCGGGTCAAAAGTCTGGTCCCCCATTATGTGCTGTGTTTCATGCCTTTGGCCCCTACACCCTTACTGTGTCCTGTAGCAACATAAGTTCCAGCAACAGGAAGCACAGAGTTCAGTGGGGGACCAGAAATCTGACATTCCCGGAAGTGTCAGATTCTGAAGATTCTTCCGGCAGTGGTAGCTCTTCAGCATTGCACAGATCGATGGCGGGAGAGGTAAGTATGAATTCTTTTTATTTTTTTTAATTTTTTTTAAAGGTGTATTTGTTTTCCATTTCTGCTTTAACAGCAAAGTGGGTTGAAACCATTGTCAGGAAATCCTCATGTATCACTTCCGCCTCCCTTTTAGATAGTAAGCCCTCAGGGGCAGTGCCCTCCTTACCATCTTGTCTTGATTTGTATTGTGATTGTAATGTCTTCCTTATATTGTAAAGAGCTGCGCAAACTGTTGGCGCTATATAAATCCTGTATTATAATAATAACTGGAAATACCAGACCTTATTACTACAAGTCAAAGGTACATAGCACTACATTATTGTACCAGTGCTGGGATGCTACAGTGGGGCGGGAGCATGGCTTGGAAAACATCACCCTGAAAACATACCATCGTTATATCATGCACTTTTTATCCCCGAGGTGCAGCATTTCTTAGCTGTATTCTTGCAGCGTATAAATAATTTAGCAGGCCTGCAGCACTTATGTCCCAGTGGTCTTGATCTCAGCAATCTACATTACATGGAGGGATCTCTCCCAGCCGCATACTCTTTGCTGGCATACGTGAGTTTTAGGCTCACCGCTGTCCTGAAATGCCATCTTCAGTCCAGACAGTAGATACAAGGCTATAACAGGCTGTACCCATCTGCCTCCCACAGTTTTGCCATGGCAACAAGCTAGGACCTGCTTCCGAGCTGTGCATTTGGGGCCGACATCAAACACCTCCAGCTGGGGGCTGCTGACATATACCAATCACACTATAGAGAATGTAGAGCAGGTTAGGGGGTTTAAGACAACACTAATACCAGGTAGTCCAGGATTTTAACACCTGATCGGCCAGGTAAAATTTAACGATTAGATAAAAAACGGAAGCATTTCTTATTTCGCCAGTTGTCTTTTTTTTTTTAAACTACACTTGAAACTTCCTGCTGCCAGGGTACCATGCCAAGTCTGGTGATGGCATGGGCACATTAAGGAGCCTGGTTGCTTCTGATGTGAAGCCACAGTATATCTGCCTCACTGTGACCAAATCTTATTTTCCTTTTAAAGCTAAAGTCCAAGAAAACACCTGAAATATTTATATGTGAACTGTCTTATCCGCAAAAAGATTTTTTAATTTTGTCTAGCCGCTTATGTGAATAATACACTTCTGTCGCACAGAAGGGTGATGCCATTTTCTTTGTCCAAGTTGAGGAATACAGTGGTGTCACCGTACTGCCCACAGCTGGCTCATTGGACAGTGAAAGAGAGTAGCAAACACTGCTCTGCCCTCCTGTCAGCACATGTTCACTGCAGCAGAGCCTGATTGGCTCCTAGTACTGCCTCTTACTCTTCCTATCTTAGTCCCAATGCAATATAAACACTCAGGTACTAATATTATTTCTTTTAAAATATATTTATTTTTAATGGTAAACACAATTGGTATAAATTGTGTATTTATTTATTTTTTAATCTGTCCTGAAGCTGCAGATAATCCTGGCTTTACTACCTAGTGCACTACTAACCAAAAACAAGTATGGACTCCCACCCTGCATGTTTGTTGTTCCTGGTCAGTGGTCAAACTTGGTGACAACAAGGTAGTAAAGCCAGGATCAGGATTTAAAGTCCTAAAGCTTTAAGCGTCAACCTATTATTGTTGCATAATTGGACTAAATGTGTTTCATTGATATTTTATGCTTGCTTATAGTTTAGCTTGCTGTGTGGCCAGTACACTAGGCTGTATCAGGAAAAACTGGAAAAAAAAAATGCTATTTCTGATTTATATCCACAGTTGTTCGAATTCTCAGTACTCCTTTGGGTGCAGGAGCCTATCTGAAGAAGCCTTGGAGTCAGAAAATGTGGCAGCAGCTGCTGCAGCCGCCTTTAGTGCCTCAACGGAACTGAAAGAAGCTGTTTTAGGTATGTAAAGTCTCTGCTCATAAATTCTGTATACGGACAATAGAGTTGCTTGTTTTGTTCAGAGATGCAGTACCTTCTACCAGCCTGAAAGTGTACGTGTGCTTTGCGTACGGAAGCAACATGTTCTCTTTAATGCAAACCCTTCCATCATTCCATTTGCTTGTGCGTGTGAGGAAACTGGGAGTTTACACAGGGCAGTCTACATCACTTCTTTATGTATGATAGAGGAAAGCGATGGAGTCGGTTTTTTTAACTCCTGTAGAGAGACATGTCACTGATACATGCGTCACTTATATTGGCAGAAAGTACAGTGAGAGGCATAGTATCTGAGAAAACTAAAAACAATATTTGTAAGCTTTTCAAAGAGATTAAACATTATGAT